TCTTTTAGCGGACTTGCATGTATTTAATGTATTTCTGCGAAAAATATTATATTCATATTGCAATGCACTTTCAAGTTAGCTTGAATATTTCCAAAAGTTTTATTTACGTTTTCTTAGAGTTTTCGCCCAAAGCTACATCAGGGCTATCTGTACATAGCCGCCCCCTTATAATTTCAAAAAGGCAACTAGTCAACAGCACCCACCGCCAACCCTTGGAATTCGACCATCACTTTTATAGCGCAATCACGGCTCCAAAGGGTGGTAATGCGTCTTTGTGGCAACGAGACTCGAATCACCAATCCTAGTTTCATAGGCCACGCCCGGCCCAGTTTCGGTAGCTCCCAAGACGTTTGCTTGTGGACGTTTCACATCTTCTGTTTATTTGCTGTGAAGCCCACTTTAAAAGTAATGCTTGGTACTTTGTCATTATTGCTGTGACGAGGTAAATAAACAAATGCAAAAAAACAAAAAAAACAGTGTTTACCAATTTTTTTATATATTTTTTTAAAAGCATTCCATAAATATACTCTTGAAGCAAATATATCAAGCCCAGCAAATTTTAATGCAATTAATAAGAAAATCTTTAATGTTGGCTCAAAACGTTACAAATTGTTATTCTGCCTCATATATATATATATTGTTTCTTGGTTTAATTAACTTTAAAAACGTGGAAGGGAATAAAAATATGAGGGAAAATGCGTGCAAAAGTTTGGGTCTGTTGGATACAAAAATCTAAGCGAAAATTTATTATTTACAATAAACATGTAAGTCTCTTTTTAAGTGAAATGTTTATAGTATTTTTTTTGTTGTTTACTTATTGACCAACAGATATCGGCACAGGAGAGCAGAAGAAAGAAGAAGGAATACGTTGATGCATTAGAAAAAAGGTAAAGAAGTTTGTTATTCTAATATCCAGAAATATCAGTAAGTCTTTTTATTTTCACTTCTAAGTATATGTTACTGTTACAAACTCTTCGTCGTATTTGTAGGATTGAAGTAAGTTTAATTTTGTCACTGTTTAATGATATTTTTTCATTCTTAATTAAAGTTGTGTTTTATATATATCTTAGAGTCGAGAGACTGACGAGTGAGAACAGTGATTACAAGACAATAATAGACTCGTTGGAAAACAACAATAAGTAAGTTTTTAAAGTCACTGAGATTTTTTCTAAGTCCATTAATTAAAAAACCTGCTTGACGTGGTTTTTTATCAACCACTTTTCCCAAATTCATCACAATGTTGCAATTTAATGAAAATATGTTTATAAAAGAAAGTTAAAACTGTACTAAGTATATAGAAGTTGAAATATATTGAAGCTCCACTGATATACATTTTCCAAATAGTGTATCCTAATCCTTTAGAAAGAAATCTAAAAAAAGCACCAAATCGCGATAAATGTGAAATTGGTGTCTAAAGGAACGTCACAAGTCCACCACTTCTGGTGATCACTCGTTTCTAGAATTATATGATTTCGTTGGACTTTGTTGTTTTTTTTAAACAGTGCTACCACGGGCTAGGCACCCATGATTTTGCCGAACCTAATTTTTCAAGTCATTTTGGATCGTTTTTTTTTATTGGCTAATATTTCTACTAAAACCTGATTGGACAAAAAGCAGGCGATTACCGCACCTTTTGTGAAAACCAGATCCACGGCTGGTTACTAAACAGATATTGACATTCAGTGAGAAAGTATACTGATCTTGTATTGATAAAGCAACTTTAATACAGGAAAAGAAGAAAATGGCTTGTAAATGCAAAGTGCGTATGTGTGCGTTACTTGTGAGAAATGCTCTCGCTGTCAGTATGGATGTGACGTCAAAATGGCACGAAAAGCAGGTGTGAAACAGCTGCAGAACAAATTAAGGGCACGAAGAAAGAAACAAAAAAGGGTTGATTACGCCATTTCAATGGAGAAAGCCCCCGGTCTACGAACCTACAACGCTAGAAACAGGGTTTCGATACCCGTGGTGAACAAAGCACAGATAGCCAATTGTGTAGCTTTGTGCTTAACTTCAAAACAAAACAAACCATTGGAGTGCGATGAAGATAATATGTCTAGCGATACTTCTGAGGCTCTTGTGAAATCCAAGAATAATAATACCATTGATCAAGGTGATGAGAATTATCTCCACTGACGCCAAGGTCAAGGCCTTTGTATCTACACTGAAAACAAAGAACAAGAACGCGAACAAATAGCCAAGAACACAACAAACCATTGGCGTGCGATGAAGATAATATGTCTAGCGATACTTCAGAGGCTCTTGTGAAATCCAAGAATAATAATACCATTGATCAAGGTAATGAGAATTATCTCCACTGACGCCAAGGTCAAGGCCTTTGTATCTACACTGAGAACAAAGAACAAGAACGCGAACAAATAGCCAAGAACACAACAAACTACGCTCGATCTTATCCAAGAGTCCGAGAAGGTAAAGTCAACAACACAACACCACAGGCACATCTTCTAAGGTGAACGTCCACCAAAAAGACTAAATTTTCTACTGCGTACTATGGGAGTCACAAACTTGCGATAACGTCAATAAATCTGCGTATTTTTTCTTAAAACTCTGCGTGGAACTTTAGTTCAACCTGAAAACGCTAAAATTTATGTTTTAGCTCAATACGGAATGATGTTATACATTAAGGTCTGCCATAGAGCCCAAATCCTGGGTGCACTGTTTTAAAAAATAAAAATACGTGAAATTATTGAGTATCATTGTGAATATTTTTCTTTAACTTCTTTATATTAAACTGTCCAAACTTTCATCACACATGGTGGATCACCACAATACACTAACCAGATTTACCTGTTATTTATTATTAAATTTTTGTCGTTGGTCGAAGTGCTGCATAATGCTTCAGTAATTGCAGTATTTTATACGAAGCACTAATGAATGAGATTAAAGAAATGCCATAAATATACTTAAACAAAAAATGTTTTCATACTTGCAATAGGTGACGATTTTGAATACAATTTTGGGCGTTTTTGATTTTCATAATCAGATAGATAAGTGAATAACTACTTATTTTTTTTTTTATTATTCCTTTCCAGTCATCAATTGCTTTACAGATAATCTTCAATAAAATTAGTGTTTCGTAAACAAAACTACAGAGCCTGCTTTATTGCTCCGCAAGTTATACTTTTTTATTTTACCAGCTTTTCTTGGAAAAAGAAGAATAATTCTGACTTTATTTAGATTTAATGCTACACATCCAAAAACAGTTTTTAAGCCTAATATGCGTATTTCATCGTAGATATTTTAAGCAGTTTTTAAGAACTTTCGATGATTTTCACAATAATGATAAAACCTGCATATAAAGCTGTTGTTCTACTTCTAGGTCACTACTTTTGCAGCTTCAGAAACTGAGAGCCTTGGTTGGTGAAGATCATTCCAGAGACAGCAGGACAGTAGCAGTTCAGGCTTGTTTTTCTGAAATGGTGAGTTAGTTGCCTTAACTTGTTAGTCTTTATCCTCAACATAATCGAATGATTAAAGATTAATGGCTGGGGAAATCAAAAGACGAGATCATATTCTGGTTTAGAAGAATCATTCCACCTGTTTAACCTGTTCTCCAAGAAAGAATAAAATCGTCTAGGGATTAAATTGGCGAAGTCCTTTAATGACCTGTACCTGACTGTGAACAGCAAGTGAAGGGTGTTTTTCAATCCGTGAAGATACTCTAATATCCTGCATAAAACAGCCAGTGTTACTGCTGTACTGGTTAATTCACCTAGTGGCTCTATTGTAACTTTGAGCGCTTATAATGCTGAAATTTAGGGTTCGATCTCTGCAGTTGGCACAGCAAAGACAGCCCATTGTGTAGCCTTAACAACAAAGTAACAAATATTACGTATTTATTACATAAACTTATTTCGGTTTCTGTTAGTAAGATTTATCTCCAAAGAAACAAAATTATTTTAAGAATTTGCAAAAAATGTTTGCATTAACTTATGAGGAAAATATCTTATGATTAAAGTCGTTAAACATCTTTAACTGGAACTTTTTAATTAAAAAACTGATTATTTTTGTTTAAGGCAATGTGATAATGTATACATTCGCTCAATATAATCATGCTGATTCGCTCAAAACAAGAGTCATGTGTATAAAGCTTCAACTGTCATTTATTCGCCACAAGTAACATATACTTATATAGTTTTTGAAGAATCTTTAGCATTACTCTTACTCATCAGAATCTTCAGATGTGCAAGATATAGCGTTTTTATTTTTATTGTTGTTCTCTCGTCATTTACCGTATTGGCCCGATTATAGGGCGGTCTCAAAACCATGGGAAATAAAAAAAATTAAGTGTCATAAAGTCCTTTTTTTAGGTCCGCAAAATCGATACTATAACTGAACTACCTCCAGGTGGATTATTTACAAGAATTAGCGATGACCTTGAGCGAACATCTGGCGCACATGCATAAACGGATGCTACATGGACATTCAGGAATGTGACAGGCTAGAGTAGGGGGAAGGGGCCTGTGGTCGACCACGATTATAAGGCGACTACGAATTTGACAGTCTAAATGTTAATAAAAAAATCGCCTTATAATCGAGCCAATATGGTAATTACAAATTTCAGCGCGAAAAACAAGCGAGCTCTAGTCTTCTGAAGAGGAGAATAAATTAGGAGCATCAATACTACATATTTTGCATATACCTGTATAAATATAGGTTATTTATGGTAGATAAAGAACAAGTTAAATATTACAAAAGGCTTGGACTTGTTCCCCTATTAGCTAATCTCTAGGGTTACTGATGAAGGATGGAATTCCGTGAGTCGGACTAACTTAGAGATAAGCAATGAATCCATAAAGAGTGTGGGTCTCACGTTTCTATCATTTGCTAAAACTTGCAACTTTAGTGTTGAGAGAGAGAAAAAAACTTATACAGAGGTCAAAATTATTTGTCTTAGGGAGGCATACAGAAGTTATTATGTTTATTATCCATTTTTTAAAAATGATGATTCAAAACAAAAATATACTTCAAACTGAAATCTAGTAGTGGAATTTGATGACGGTTTCTCTTTCAGTCACGTGAAATCAATTGGACGAATTATGATTACGGTTTCTATTTCAGTCACCAGACTGCTGTCCAATGGAAACATCTGTGGATGAACTAGACTTCATTCAAGTAATTGACGGTGAGTTTGTTTGTTTGTTGTTAAGCACAAAGTTGCACAATGAACTATACGTGACTGTACCAACCGCGGGGATCGAACCCCCTAATTTTAGCAATATAAGCTCTCGGTGACTGTAACAATGAAAAAGTATGGTAATATTAAAGACGACTTTTAGGTTTTCATGTGACAAAAGTTTAGTCTGTAATTCCCTTTTTAGTGCTTTTAGTCATCATCGTCATACAAATTGAAAATGAAATATTTCAATAGCTACGAATCCTCCATACAAACGCATCTTGCGTTTGTATAAATAAAATTTATCTCTTATTCATTAACCTCATTTTCAAAACTGCTGTCAGTGTTGGTGATGCAAACACTAAGTGCGGTCTGATAATTGCTGCCAGTGTTGATGATACAAACACTAAGTACGGTCTGATAATTGCTGCCAAATGTTGACGATACAAACACTAAGTATGGTTTGATAAAAAAAACTACTTCTGTGTTCTTTAAGAAAACTTGAATCTAAAACTGTTGCTCTCGGTGTAGCAATAAATATTACTTTTGCCTATTAAAGCTACTGCTGAAATATAATGATATCAGTTTGGACTTTAGCTTTCGTTAAAACACGTCCCATGGCTTTTCAATGAAAATATATTCATGATAAAATGTAGCTTTACTTGTAATCAAAGAAATACCATGAAACTTGGTTAGAAATTCTAGTGGGTTAAGTGAGCATAACGTATACTCTTAAGACTGGTTTGACCATGAAAAAAAAAGAAAAGCTGTTACAAAAGAAGAGTACCCTCAGTGACATTTGCTGGGGCATGTTGTATTTTCTGGTTGTAAACGTTCAGTGAAAATTGCTGGAGTATGTTGTATTTTCTGGTTGTAAATAGCGTGCAATGTATGTGGTACAAGTTGACCCCATGGCGGATGAAAATATGATGAATTACGGCTAATGGGGTCACACAAAGAAGAAGATAATTGAATACATTTCGAGTAGATTAATAAAAAAATAAAAAACAAATACATTTTCAAATTTTTATTTCTTTCGGCCTCATTTTACCATAACTTTAAGCACTGCTTTTGAATGTTGCTTTAAAATTTACCTTAAAAAAAAGCAGTTCACTTAGCAACCCAAATTCAATATCAGGACATGCGGATCGCATGTACACTAGTAACAGCAGCAGCAGTGTGTGTATAGGATACGTGACTGTGACCTATATTTTTCCGTATGTAACTCACTCATTATAAAAGCCGTATTGATTCACCTAAAGTTGCTAAGCACAAGTCTCAATCAGGTACAGGCTGCTATCTACAAACAACCCAAGTCTATGTAGATGATAAATGTTATACACTTATATATATATATATATATATATATATA